TCTCAATGTATTGAAATATATATAATATTTAATTATCTTTAATTATAATTGATTTATAATTAATTTAAATACATATTTAAAGTTTAGCACATTATAACATTGTTGTATAAGTATTGACTTTTACTAATTATAAGTAATGAATCGAGAATTTCAAATATTTCTATTTATTCAAAACCTATTTTTTGTATATTTATTTACATAAGTGATAAGTCTATGGTATGAATGAGATAAATGTTGGCAAATGTCTTATCATAAAATGGCAATCGGATTGCAAATACACTTAAGACACACTTGTGTAGTCCAAAACTACCGGTGCAATAGACACATACATTCAGACTTACTCATATAAAAATGTCATAATACTTCCAAATATCACTTCCAAGTATTGTTGGCAAAATTTTTTTATTAAATAATATCAATAGAAAAATTTCTAGTAAGTTTCTATAAGAAATTTCTATTTATGGAATCCACATAAATTTTGTCATCTCAATATTTATTATTTTGTAACAATACATTAAATATTATTATTAGTATTTTAATTATTAATTAAAGTAAAAAAATTAATTAATTTAATTATATTAAACTATGATATATATTATATAGTGTATGATATATATATAAAAGGGCCTTACATATATATAATTTTTCCTATATATATATATATAATTTTGTAAAAAGAGTATTAAAAAGTGATTTACGCGTGATATTATAAAATATTAAATTTTTAATTTTGATCACGTGATCATATTTATTCTTGGATCTTTGCAAACCACTATGTCATAACCTAAACTATAAATGCTAAAATAAAATTTCAATAGTAAGTTTGTAATGCCTAAACTGGAAATTTATAGGAAGAAAAAATTTTTAAAATTGGTTGCAGAATAAATTTTTTATGGCTTTTCATAATTACATTATATAAAATAGTCGAAAATAAAATGACGTTATTTATGGACAGTAGACACTTATTAGATAGAGATTTTAATACTATTGCTTATAAACAAAATTTTTTTATGTCAAATATTTTTTTAGATAATCAAATTTAATTAAAAATTGCATTATCGAAATATAATGTTGTGTTTTTTATTGTAATTTAATTATCTAAAAAAATATTTAACATAAAAAAATTTTGTTTTCAGAATAAGCAATATATATCTAATAAGTGTCTACTGTCCATAAATAACGTCATTTTATTTTCCACAATTTTATATAATGTGTTTTTCCACAAGTTTGAAAAACCATAAAAAATTTATTCTTCGACCAATTTTAAAAATTTTTTCTTCCTATAAATTTCCAGTTTAGGCATTACAAACTTACTATTGAAATTTTATTTTAGCATTTATAGTTTAGGTTATGACATAGTGGTTTGCAAAGATCCAAGAATAAATATGATCACGTGATCAAAATTAAAAATTTAATATTTTATAATATCACGCGTAAATCACTTTTTAATACTCTTTTTACAAAATTAATATATCTCACTCCGTTTAAGAATTATAGGAAAAACCGCGTGTGCGAGATTAATGTAAGGCCCTTTTATATATATAATAAAATGATGAATATAATTTTACAAAACTGATTATTATTAAATAATTATAATTATTTTATATATAGATATCCTATTTGTATAGTACTCTACATTATATAGTATAATATATATGTATAGTATTATGTCTTATTAATATAAAGTACAGTAGTATTACAATAGCTATAGATATGGGGATACCATAGTATAAGGGGTGGTTCACATATTACGTTCGCACTTGAGGGGAGGGGGTCGGCCAAAGCGAACTTTTGCGAACGAGGGGGTGGGGAGGGGTAGTGATCTTAAGAACATTCGCATTTAGATATATTATTTTTTGGTGGTGGGGTGGTAGCAGTTATGGACATTTGAACGAAATTTTTTATAATGACTACATGCGAACAATTGCGAACATAGGGGAAGTAGGTGTCTAGATTTCTTAAAAATGCCAACGTAATATGTGAACAGCCCCTTACTATAAAGCTAAGTTTCTATAAAAATTTATTTCTGAGAATTTTTCTAGTAACTTTCTCAGGGAAATTTATTAGAAAATTTCTATTTGCTCGTCTATACTTCCAAAACCTAATTAATAAAAATTAAAACATTTATTTGACTGTATGTGACTCATAATTGCAGCGAAAATAGCGGCAAAAATACTACTCAATACACATAAAACACATGAAACCTCTTCAATACCTTAGCTAATATTTATAGCTCTAATTAGAGATTAAAACACTTTTTTTAAACCGAACCGAACCGGTCTATGAATTAAAACTAAAACACAATAAATACAAAACCGTTTTCGATTCCGGTTTATACTATTTAACCGAAACGTATATTTTTCCGTAGTCTAGTTGTGATACCTGATCTTATCATAATATATTAAAAATAACTTAAATGATAAATAAAATTATTGTAATTTAGAAGTAATATAATTGTACAATATTTAAAAACTTAAATTGATTTTTAAAATATTTTTCCAATGAAGTATTAAATACTATTTTTATATAAAAAGCAAACCCTTAATAAATAAAAGTAATAATAGATGACTAAAAGGAAATCGAGAGCTTATTTTAATGAAATAACATTTTTTAAAAGAAAACTTGTTTTTAATAAAAGGATATACAGTACAGTATTTAATATTAATATAAACTATATATTGCTATTTATACTATATATTATAAATATTATACATACTATATATATATATATATATATATATATAAAAAACTTATTAATAATTATATAAAGGTATAATTATATTATATTATTTATACTATAGCACATTAATTTTGTATAAATCAATGATTTCAAGTAAATCCACTAACTGTTGAATTAATTAATTGCATATTCAATTTTAATGAAATATAGCTTATCAATATACTCATACAAATTTTATTTTTTATTCAATGCTTAATATTATAATTTTAATTAAATTATAGATTAGTATTTTCATAGTAAAAGTAATTTAAAAATTGACTAATAAAATTAGTTCACTTATTACTGTATTATCACTAATTATTTTGATATAATTAAAAATTTACTTTACTATTTTATAAATAATTTTTAAATAAATTATTAAAATATTAATATTGATTACAATTGTTCTGAAATTATATTTTTTACAATTATTGTGTATTTGCTTACATTATAACAATACAATTACATGAATATTTCGGGTTTAAATATATAGATATTTTGTGTGTACAGTATATACAGACTGTATGCCCTCATGCCCTATATATCACTGGTTTGGTTACCAGTGCTGGTGAGCCTAGAGTTCCTTTCCCTCTAATATAAGTTTATATGAGCTGAGCTGTTAGATTACTTTAAGGAGCACCAGTGGTAAAGTAGGTCAGCACTGTGTTTGGCACATAACCACTCTCTACCTGGTACATATGTACAGTACATATCATACAATATGAGACTCGTATTATGAGTGTATATACTCTCCAACTCCCTTATCTGTTTCATAAGGAAAAACTTGTCTTTCTCTCCCTAAAAGTGGCAAATCATACAAAAGTTTTCTCTCTCTCTCTCTCTCTCTCTCTCTCTCTCTCTCTCTCTCTCTCTCTCTCTCACACACACACACACACACACACACACACACACATAGTCTCTGAATTATTTCAACTGTAAATGTATGTGATTTGCTTGACTCGCCCCACATTTTGCTTAGTTATGTGTTGGCTGTGCACCAACTAATAGTGCTCATAATACCTGTCCCATTGACTCAGTTGCTGCTCAAACATACTGTACATATATAGCTAAAGCAATGATAACAACATATGCAACAATTCATATGTTGCTTATTAGCCACCAGTCCATCGCCACCACCACTGACTGACTTCATATCACTTTCACTGACGGAGCCGTCGGTGAAAGTAATAAATGTTTTCCCATATTTAACAGTGGATTGTTATGTCATTAAGTTATTTACATATTACTATTTACTACTACTACCACTATTGACCACCCGTTTCCAACACCTACCCGTGTTCTATGAAACTATGATTTTTAAAAAATTATTTACATTTACTATTGAACAACAAAAATTTTATTCAAAAAATTGTGTTTTTTATAATTAAATTATTTTTTTAATAACAAATGATTGTATAATGTAATGTATTATATGTGCCTTATTATATGAAATATATTTTATAATATATGATAAATTAAAACTTTAGTTTTTATTATTATTTTGTGTGTTATATACTGCTATAGATAATTGCTTCCGTCTGTGATTTTACATAAAATTTCTGTGTTATTATCAATCAAATGGATTAATAAAACTGAATTTAATTATTTCCTTTGTCCTCAACATTATTTTTGATTAATTTTTTTAAAAAATTTATTTAAAAATTAAATGACTTAAGTTGTCATACACTTATTGTTATAGTCTAGTAGTGCTTTTCCAATGAAACTGTTTTAAGTGGTCCAGTGCTCCCTCCCTGTCCCTGTACTATAAACGGCTCTCACTTTTCATTAAAATTATTGTATTATAATCATTTGTTTATGTGTATTATAATTATTAGTTGTATATTTTGTATATAGTTAGTTATATTATTTATTTAAGTTTATTTAAATAACAATTCAATTATATTTTTTGATGAAAAATATTTGTTTAAATAAATTTTCAAAGTGTCTCACAAATGGATACATACAGTGAGACTAAATTTGTTATTAACATCTATTGGAGTACCAAATAATGTTAGTTTCATTCACTTTCACATGACGTGTGCAAAGTTGTCTTATAATTTGTTTGACCTAATATTCAATTCAAAAAATATGTGCTTTTATTATATGAGCAAAACTAAGAAATAAACAAATTTTTTTCAAATAAGAGATTAAACTATTGTTGTATCAAAAATTATGATCTTTTTATAGCAGATCATTACATCAGTAATACTGTATAACAATAGAAATATATAATCTAATAATAAATAAAAATAATAAAATTTATGAAAATAAGTGCTCAAATGCCGTGAATGGTGTATATTTTGAGGGGAACTACATATCAACAACAAAAAAAAGGAGATACCATTGATAACAATAACAAGAAAAAGTAGACCAGTTCTGTATTGGCTAACAATAATCTTTTATAGCCATCACCGCCGGTGCCAACTATGATCACAACTATAAACCAATTAATAAAGCAATGCATTCGTTACGGACGTCACAACCGTCAGTACCGGCGCTGTCCGACAAAAATGTCGACCAAATCGGTGCCCAACAGCACCACATTAGCACAGCTTTCTATATTACTAGTCCTTTATATTTCGACAATCATATCACCCGTCCAATCATTAGCTCATCCATTAAAACATCAGGTATTTTACATCACTAAAGCATTATTTAGTATAATTAGAATTTTATTATGTTTTCAAAAAATAATTATGTATTTAATGTGTTTTATTAATTTTAAGTTTATATATTTAACTTTAAACTCTAACCAATACCACAGATACACAAACACATGAGCGAAGATGATCTCCGCTATGTTTTTCAAGTTGAGTCACATAATGATGGTAAGAGTCATCAAAATTGTTATTTTTGTTATTTTCAATATTATTATTATTATTATACTTCTTTGTTGTTATTTATATAGCAATTTTATTTTCGGATACAAAATTATATCTAAATATAACGCAAATACATACAATACATACATACACTTTAGATAGAGAGCTATAAGTACTTATGCATACAAAGTACAAAGTTTTATGTTATTATTAGCATTGTTTGAGATTTTCTAATGAAAGTTTTGTTGCAATCATAATAATAATAATAAAGTTTTGATGACATCCTTTTAACTTTAAACACAAACTTCCAGTTAATACTCTATTATTATGTGCTATAATCATATAAAATAGATTTACTATATAAAAAATATATATATATATATATACAATACTGCATAAAATAATGTTATATAAATTTTATTTACTGAAGTATGTGTTATACAAACACTAAAATTAATGTTTATTAATTATTGAAATCCCTTATCATAAATTTACATTACATTAAATGCACGTTAATTGAAAATTAAAAGTTATTAAAATATTAAATTTATTTATGCAGTTAATCAATTAATATTTTATTTAAATTTTTTATACTCATTTGGTACAAAGTGTTTAAATAGTTATATTTTTATATTTGAAACAATAATAATAACCTTATTTATTAGGCTTTTATATAATATAAGAGATAAGTCAATGAATTGAAAGTTTTGTGAACCGATTTTTTTGTAAAGCCTTAAAATACACATTAGAGCTAAAAAAATATACTCTCTATTGAATTAAATGTTATTATAGTATTTAACGAATTAGACTCAATCGACTAACTATTTATTGATCTACCAGTGCCTGAATATGACGTGACAAATGTGCGGCTCATAAACAAGCGATCTGTGAGTGATTTGTCTTCAACGATGACCGGCAATGAGTTATCACCGAAACAAATCCATTTGAAGGCTTTTGGCCGCAAATATAAACTCAATCTCCAAAAGAATAGTGATTTCAATGATAGAGTTAAAGACATGAAAGTGTTTATGGCTGAAACCACTGGCAATGGAAAGTTGCGCTACAGTCAGGTGCCCTCAACTGGCTATGAGGTAAGCATTACATACATTACATACATTACAGGCCAAACATCACTCACTATACAAACGTGACGAATGCGCTCTCAATTAATACACTTACAATGCAATGCCTTTTAACACAACTTCACTATAATATTATTGTTATTAAAATTTTGATATTTTTTATATTATTTGTTATATATAGCATTATATGTATTTAAATAGCATTTATAAATGTTATTACATTTAGATGGTTAAAAAAGAAAGTCCAAATTTGCATTGACTTTTTTCTATTGAATATAAAATAAGATAAAAAATGCTAGAAATATAGTAATTAAATGAATTTAGCTGAATATCACGTATATTTCAAATTTAAATATAATATATATATATAATAAATACGTTTAGTGTTTGTGACCCTTTGATTTGCATTTAATATATAATTCATTTTTGTTGTCATTATATTTTTATGATTTTAATTAAGATGATTTTTTATTTCACTTTAATGCATATTATTTTGCTAAATAAAAACAAAAATTCTGAACCATTTTGAGTAAATACTAATATATTAATATTAATAAAACAGGAAAATTTTAATTAATTATTAATACATATATAATTTGAATTTATAATTAAAATGAAAGTTTGTTGTTTTATTACTGATTTTTATTATTTAGCATTAAATGCATATAATTTTATTAATATATGCAGTAAAACTTAATTTATTTCATTTATTTATTGCAAAAATTTTACTTTTATAATACATGTCAAATTCAAATCATTATCTATCAGATAATTTATTTTAGTTACTCTAATACTGTAGCATACAATGCATTAAAAAATATTTTTGATTGAAAATTATAACTCTAAAAAATAAGGCATAATTGTATAATAAAATATATACTAAATAATGCATATATTTTAAACATACAATGACTGTGACTAATAATGTTTCAAAACACCATATTATGCAACAAAACCTAAATTTTGATTTTGTTGTGGTTGTTATGTCTAAACTATCTTATGATACATTGTTTTTGCAAATCTCTATCCATTGTTTGCTTAAAGAAAATCTATTGTTTTTAAATCTCAATTTTATTTATGTTTTTATATTTAAGAGAAAGTATTATACAATAGAGTAACGAAGTAAATGAGTAAATCATTTAAATTGATTTCTAAATAAATTTTTTTAATTTAAAAATAATTATAAATTCAATAGTTTTCCAAAGAAAAATTAAAATCTATTTTAAACATAAGTTACAGCACTATAACAATTCAAAACAATTTAAAGTCCTCAATAAACATTTATTAAAATGTTATTTAAATACATAAAAAGTTTATTTCGTTTTTTTTTATTTTGCTTACAAATGTAATTAAGCACTGATTTTATATTTTAAAAAAACTTTTGAATTTAAAAATAACTATAGGAATAGTATTAAAAATATATAATTTTACTAATTTTATCTTAAATTACTTATAGATTTACTTGTAAACGGGTTGTAAACTACTGTACAACTAGTATTTTTTACAATATTTATAATTACTTTATTTTCACCATAAAATTTTATTAAGCTTTATGAATAAATTAATTTTTTTATTTAAAAACGTTAAATTTAATGTATTTGTAGAAAACCCGTAATATAGGGACGACATATCACGACAAGTCAAATATGGCAGCAGTTTTAGTCGATCACAATCCGGATGGAAGTATCCAATTGGTGGGTGTTTTTAAACAATTAATTAATATGTCTTTCAATCTTTTTTTAAACTAATAATTATGCAAATTGTGACATCACTTGACAGCACGGGACTATTGGTAATGATTTAGTCATACGACCAGTTCCTCAAACTGTCAGTTTAGACAACACTGAATATCTTCAATACGATGGCAATGACAATGAAGACGACGAGATGTTCTTAGATGAAGAAGAGATCATCGACTCTTCAAATAATCAGACGAGTAATAGTCGACCAAACAATACAACTACTCGTATGTCATTACCATCATTGAAGAAAATAAGTGGTGGAAAGGGAACTAAAAGTAGTTATTTAAATTCAACTAATATTGGAAACACTCATTTTGTGTACAAACGAAATGATACCTTTGATCCCAAATATAGTTATCACTCGGACTACTGTAAGTAAATGTTTTTCAAACCATATTATTTATAATAAAATAATATTTTTAAATAGTGGAAATGGAGCCCCATTTCAATCATAATACGACTGATCCATTGATCAACTCAACGACAAGTCATCGTAGAAATAAACGTCAGGCGCCAAACACCGTGTGGCCAGAGGTACTACTCGTGGTTGACTACGATTCATACATATTACACGGCGGCACCAGTCGTGATGTGAAACGTTATTTCATCAGTTTCTGGAACGGTGTTGACCTCCGCTACAAACTGTTATCTCATCCACAGATTCGGGTCAGTTTGGCCGGTATGATAGTCGCTAAGGTTGGTTATTGTGTAACATCACTTTCCTTTTATAATATGATTTATTTAAAGAAAACATTTTTATAAAAAATAAAAAGTTGTCCTGATTATCTGTATGAATGATTGTACTGTTATGTCTTATAGGACAGGGATGCAACACCTTATTTAGAGCGAAATAGATTGCGGTCTCCTAATGCCGATGCTGTGGACGCGGCCGGTGCTTTGACCGATATGGGAAAGTATTTATATAGAGAAGACCGGTTACCTACGTATGACTTGGCAGTAGTCATCACCAAACTAGACATGTGTCGACGTCGTTTTGAGGGCGGCCGATGCAATAGAGGTACGGCTGGTTTTGCTTATGTCGGCGGTGCCTGTGTTGTCAATAAACGACTTGAAAAAGTCAATTCTGTGGCAATCATTGAAGATAGCGGTGGATTCAGTGGTATTATAGTGGCTGCACATGAAGTCGGACATCTGTACGTTTAACCAAATATTTCTAAAATTAAATTTTATTAAATATTGTATTTTTGTTAAAGTCTCGGTTGTGTCCACGACGGCTCACCCCCTCCTAGTTATTTGGGTGGTCCGGGTGCCACTAGATGCCCCTGGGAGGATGGATTTATTATGAGTGATCTCAGACATACCGAACGGGGTTTTCGTTGGTCTTCCTGTAGTGTCGAACAGTTTAAGCACTTTTTAAAGTATGTTTTTATATAATACTTATCTTTACATTAATCATATTATTGATAGAAGTGATAAAAATATATATAAAACTTTTTTAATTTAATATAAATTTATTTGTGTTTACCCCACACACATACACGTGCCATATAAGTGGAGAGACAGCCACATGTCTGTACAACTTTCCACATGAGAACCAACTGTTGCCGCGAGTATTGCCGGGAACTATGCTGTCATTGGATGAACAGTGCAAAAGAGACAGAGGAACTAATGCTTGTTTTGTGAGTCCTTTTAATTAAATTTATTTAATGTTTAATTAATGAGAAAATATTTGAATAATTTGTTTATATATTTATTTTTAATGTTTTTCTAATTTAAATGTCAAACCTCACAGAAAGACGCCCGGGTTTGCGCTCAACTCTTTTGCTTTGATAGCGCCTCCGGCTATTGTGTTTCCTATCGACCCGCAGCTGAGGGCTCACCCTGTGGTGATGGACAGGTAGTTATTACAGACTAGACTTTAGACGGCACTGATTTCATAGATATTATATTAATGATTATTTTTAAATATTTGCTAAACTAATAAATATATAGACTTGTCGTAACGGTAAATGTTTGGCAGAGATGGAGAATATAATTCCCGATTACACACACGTGACACAAACGGTTAGTCGAGTACCGGCGCCAAACACCGACCGAATACTTTCCCGATCAGACACTTCATCTGGTAGTCGAAGACAAACACGTCTAAGGAGTCGTCAGGGTTTAACTCGAAGTGCCAGTCCTTATCTGAGAATGGCTGTACCGACTAATGAATCACCACAAGTGGCGATTCCAGATAATAAAGACAACGATGACGTCAACAATAATACTAATGATAATAATAGCACAACAAATGGTCCGACAATTCAACAAACAGTTGACTGTCTTAATAGTGTTCAACGAATGGCCGGATCACTGACTTGTACTCAATTTTTAGAGAGATTTGGCGATAAATATTGTAAACACGATTACATTAAACGAAACTGTTGTGCATCTCATCAACTAATGTGCACCAAATCATCGCCCGATTCATAGATTTAAATATTTAATTATTTAAATACTATTTATAATTTTTTTTGACAAATAATATCAATAGTAATAATAATTTTGGACCTCAATTATCATTAATTTTTGATGAATACAAACATTCTCCTCTTTCTGTGATAGACTTTATTTTATGCAAAAATTTTTTTTGTCAATTATTGTTTTTGTGGTAAATGATAACATGATTTTTTTTGTTGACAATCAATCAATTGCTCTCAAAGTCTCTACCAATTTATCGAAAAATAAGTTATTATATTTCTTGTCGTGTATTATATGCGTTGTGATGATGTGTGAAAATCATTATTAATATTATTTAACACAATTTGATGCCATTTTAATTATCATTATTAATATTATTTCAATTGTTTTAAATTTAAATAATTGTAATTATATGTAATTATTGTTCATATAAGAGATTGGTGATACACATGATGAACTGCCAGTAATTTTCATATCATATTTAAATGTATTAATTGTTTAATTATTTATATTTTCAGTATTTTTTTTGTGCAACAAATACAACAATCAAGTGTTGTTTTTTGTGAGCTTTTGAAATGTTTGATATATTTTTGAGCTAAACTTAAATAACAAGTTTAGTGTGCATTCATCTACTTTTAAGTTATTCCCTAATATTATAGAAATCATATACTTATTGATTTGTAATCTATAATTAATTTTATTTTTATATTTTCTTAACTATCAGTAGTATTACTACTTGTTTTATACTCGACTAATCATCAGATGATTCGTTGCCCTAAACTTCAAAAATCACTTAAAATAATTTATATCATATATTATTGTTAATTATTTTTGCTTATTTAACACAGATATGTGTTTTTACTGTTACTTATTTTTTCTTTGGCAACAAAAAATCTATCACTTAAAATAACAAATTAACTTAATTATTATTATTATTGTTTTTATTTATATTTGAACAACAATTTAGATTTTTAAAATTAATATTAATATTGCAAAAAATGTTATTCAAAAATCAACAAAAATAGTTTTATATTACCACACAAATCCGATCGCAAAATAAGACTATACAATATGTTAAATTTATTTTGATTCATTAATAATAAACTTTGTAATAATATTATCATTAATTAATATAAAAATTTGTAAAATAGTATTATTATTATGTATTGAAAATTGTAATCATAATCACACAAACAAAAATTTATTGTATATGCAATATTCACATCTATTTGTTTTATATATTATTCTAATTATTATAGTAATTGTTATTAAATAATGTATTTTTAATTAACCATTATATGGTCGAACATATAAATTGTTTTTATTATTAATATTAATATTCAGTAAACTTAAAAATAGTTTTTAGAAAATTAATTTTCATTTGTAATTTGTTTTTAATTTATATAACACATAAAAAATTAATGAAACATTTTTTAAAATTTTCTATCGACTATAAAATCTTTTATTTTTATAATTTTAGTAAAAAATTAAAAATTGTTTTTATATTAATTTTTCATAATTTGTCCATTTGTTACATAAATTAATTTAACATATTTTATAATCAATATATTTATATATGATATTTAATCAAAAATAACAAATAGTAATAATTTCTATAATATTTAAAAAATTTTAACAAACAATCATACAAATTCATATATAATTTTTTTTTTAATTATTCATTTTTATTTGTGTATATAATACAGATTGTATATATAATATTTTTGTGTATATAATGTTATACCCTTTAATTTTGTTTTATATTTTATACTAATATGAATAATTATCATCTTATAAAAAATAATATTTGTAAAAAAGGTAAGTAGTTGTAATAATAAATATAACTTTTATTATAATTAAAAAAACAAATTATAATTAATGTTCATTTTAAGGTAAACAAAAAAATCAATCAATCATTTATTATATATTCATAAAATATTTATAAAAACAAAATTTTATTTTTACATAAACTTATTTTAATGAAAGTATTTTTTTATAATATACTATATTTTGAGATCAAAATTATTATTATTCCTGTTTTTAATATTATATTTAATATTAACTTATTACTAATACTTTATTAATAACTTTATTATTATTTAGGTATTACCTGTTTTTCTATGCGTTTATAATCAATGAGTTAAGTATAACTCTCAATGTATCCAAAAATATAAATTTGCAAATTATTTTGTAAATGTGTGCATAAAATATATGCTAAACTTATTTAGGTGTCAAAAGCACAGCACAAGTATGTTTGAAATATTCAATAAAATGTATTAATAGTTTCTTATTTAAAGCTGCGTAACATAAATAAAAGTTAGAAAATTATAAATATAAATGTATTTTAAATTTGTTTTATAATTGAAAACGAAATTTATTTTTAATTATTTTAAAAAACAGCTAATAAAAAATAAATCATAAATTAACAATTTTATTTTAATATTTATTTACTTGTTTATTAGCAACAAATATAATAAGCCTACCGATAAACAAATTATTTTTAGTTATTACTAATTGTAATAATTATATGCGTTTCCATTTCAGTGAACTCCAAGTTTTCAATCAATTACTATTTAATATAATTATTTCAATTGTTTTTTTGGTACAATTTTGAACCAAAACCTATTATTAGTCTAATTATAACAATTTTAGTTATTTCTTATTTTTTAAAATATTATATTATTATTATTTAAATTTCTTAAGCATAGATAAAATAATATTCAAACTCTTAATTTAATAATAAATATTTAATAATTTTATAAATAAATTTTAATTAATATGCTAATTTAATTATAGTTATCTTGTAAAGTGTTGATTTATAATAATTAATAATATATATATATTTATTGTAGATTAAATATTGTATGATTACATATTAATTACAATCTATATAAAGAAACAATTGGGTTATTTATATGTTATTTAATATTTTAAAATTTAATTAACGGTTTAAATATTAAATTTTCAATAATTATTTTCATTAATCTATTTTAAAATATTATGATTTACTAATATAGAAATTATTATAATTCTTAAAATATTAAATTAAATACTGTATTACATTATAACTAAAAATTTATGTAAAATCCTAGTCTATAGATGTCACACATAAAGTATTTCACTAGTATTGCTATTATTAATATTAGATCAAATCAATAAAAAGTTTTTAACAATTAAATAAAATAATATCTAATTTACTAATGCATTAGCTAAATAAATATTATATAAAATAATTAATCCAATTTTGACACAAATTTTCTTGTTTTTATATCATTTAATATCATTTGGTTAATAACATCAACTCAATGATGATGTATTGCAATATTAATAGCAGTTATTGCTCCGGTATGTACACAGTGTACAGTACAGTAAGGTATAAATAGTACAAAATAGTACAGTACTATGACTTTTGGTGTTAGATTATCCAACTTTGGTATAGAAGTATGATATCATAAATTTATATCAATATTACAATATTTCCTAAAAATCACAACACTTTACGTAACTTATACTAATGTAACAAAAAAAATATAATATTATCAAATCACTAATAAATTATTACTTATAAACATTTGTTTACCCCCTATTTAAACTCAATATCAAAAATCAAATGTTTTAAATCATTTAATAAAATTTAATAATAAAATAATTATTATAAGGTTATATTTATTTTACTTATGATATAAACATTTGTTATATTATATTTGTTTGATAAATTTTTTGTTAGTAATTTTAACTATAAGTTATAATCTATAACCAACGTTAAATATTTTTAATTAAAATTAGGGACCGTATAATCATTAGTTAACGACTGGTCTACAGTAGACAAGTCGCAAAAAATAAGAAAAATTTAACTAAAAAAATATTTGAATTGTATTTATTATTACATAAGATTTTTTTAATAACTGGTATAAAGTATTTTATTTAATTAAAAACAAAAACTTTTATTTAATATATAATATAATAACATCTTATTTATAATTAATAAAATAAACAATTAAAATAATAGTCAAGTATACTGTAATTTTAATATATTAAAATTACAGAAAAAAAGTTTATACAAAAAATGTTTTAATTAAGATTATTATCATTTTCATATTTATTAAATATTTATTTATCATTCAATAAAGTAATGTATTTTAAATATTGTTTAATTAAAATATGCTAATAGAATAAATAATATAGGTTTAAATATTAATATAATATCAAGTAATAATTTTCTATAGATTCATATTTTAAAAATGATAATATAATCGTATATACAATATAAACACAAATCATTTTATTAATTACATGATCTTATCATTGAATTATTTTAAGATTAGTTAATTATTTTAAGGGTTTATTATACAATATATGAAATCGAATTAATTAACTTTTGATAAATCAAATTAATACAATTTAGTTTAAATTTACAATAATATATTGAATAATAAATTTTATTTATAAATTCTCTAAACATATGAAATTTTTTCTAATAAATGGTCGGTAAATGTCTGTTTTGATTAGGGTTCGGGTAAATTCCCTCCCTCGTTTTATTTTCCAAAAGTTCCCTATGTTCCCTTCTCCCTGGGAATCTTTATCCTTGTGCTATTTAACCATAGACAACAAAATTTGTTATAAGATTTGAATAACATATGTTGCATTAAACTGTATTTTGAGTGTAATTGTTAAATAGTGTCACTAAATTTATTGAATTCAAATTGATTTTTTAAATATTTCAATGAAATTTTATGCAAATAATTTTTGGTGTTATTTATTTTAGAAATAAAAAATATATTTTCCTTTCTAACGGGCTAGGGAGGGAAAATAAAATATATTTTCCGGGAAAAGTAGAGGGATTTTATTAGGGAACTTCCCTCTCTGGGAAAGCTACCCGAACTCTAGCTCTGACACAAAATTACTGAATGCATCGAAAATTATTTTTAAAATATTCATTACAAGTCTGTATAGTTGTTTATCCGTACAAATAAGGGATTCTTTGAATAAACTATTTTTATAAATTGATTTGC